TATCGTTAAATTGCATTTTCTTTAATCTGTTTTAGATTTCCCTGTGTTCAAAATTTACAATTCCCGTGTTATTAGCGGTTTATTGAATACTGTAATGAATTTGTCATGGTTTAGTGAAATTTCATTGTCTCTTTTTAGCCAGATGGTGAAATAGAGGGAGTAAAATAGAGCATCGATTTAACATACTCAAATTAAGTCTTTACTGTGCTGTGATTGTTGCCTCAAAATGGAGCGAAGTATCGAATATTTTAATGCAATAGGAAAAAAAAATCAAATATATCTATTCCTTTGTCGTGAACAGCTTAGATTTCAATACTTAATGTCGGTCTTAAAAATAATTTCCCAATTACAAAACATGGAATATTAAATATTTTTAAATTTGCATGATAAAAACTTTCAAATTTTACGAAAGCCCAGTAATGCTGCTTATAATGGAAATATATTTCATTTGCATGAAGACGTCGCTTTCCCTAATTGTTCTCGCTGAAAAATTGAAAGATTTCCGTCGGTAATTGATAATGTTACGCGCCTTCTTTTGCTCTCTCTCCATTTTTCTGTTAATTAAATGCAAGTGTAGATTTTGCAGATCGAATCAAATTAATTTGAAAGAACACAAATGAATATTTATCGAACACCATACTTCAATTTAATTTTTTGTTGATATTATTTACAAACAATTAATTCATAGTATGCTGTGTCCCGAATTGACCTGTTTTGCATATTTCGTAGGCGAGAAAAGATAGAAATCCTTTATTGTAATTTGAAAATTGAAAAACGAAGATTCTCGTGTATATTGGAATAGATGTAGCGCTGTAGAAAAATATTTTTAAAGTAGGGATTTATTATGATATTTTTTTCGAAGTCGGCTTGTCAGTATTTCATACAGAATACAGAGGTCCGGAAATGGTAGGGTAGGAGAAATACGTGTTTTTGTTTAATTTCTAAAAATTTAAGAAAATTTTAGATATTTTTTCCAACTGATCTAATTTTGTCTAACTTAGAGGAGGTTTAGTAGAAAAATATTGAGGAGGGTGGACTTTTTTATTTTGCCATAAAATAATAAGTATTGATCTTTTTAAAATAAGAAATAAGAATCGTAGTGTAAAATTAAATAAAATGTTTTCCTTTAAAACATCCAAGAAAGTAACTTTGGATAACTACTTTTACAATTTCATTTGTCAAGTTCATTTGACACTCGAGTGCTTATTGTAGCTCCCTTAAGATCTATACTGTAGGAAAAATGTTTATAGAAACTTTTCATCTTATTTTTGGATTCAGAACCATCCCTTAAAATTTTCTCTTCCGCCATTTCCAGACGCTATGTAGAATATTTAGATCTTTCATTACTGTAACTGGACGGTAATCATAAATACCCTCTGTATACTATAAACCGGAGGCATAAATGTTGCCAACCCAAAGTATATTATTCAGTTGTGTCAGTGGCTCTAATAGTAGCCAGTTAATTGCGCCTCCGTCATTTCCAGCAACCTAATAAACATTAAACATGGCGCATAATTCAGTCTTACCCTGCCCAGTCTACGGCGCTACCAACTGTCCGGACCTGATTTCCGATTCAGCGATTATTGGCATGACGTATGCCAGGCAATACGGTTTGAAATACGTCTAATTTATTTATGAACCGTTGCGTTCTCTCTTTCTTATAAACTGGTCCCCGATCGGAACGCGCATAATTAAGTCATAATGGCCTACGACGAATCCGAGCGGGAGATTGCAGCTTTTAAATAAATGAGTAATCTTCGTACACTCCCCGTATTATAAATATATTTACTTGCTTTTAATGCCTATATAACTTATCTAGATGTAACTCAGTACCGCTTTACTACTTACTTAATATTCATGATATTTATGGGACATCCAGTATATAGTGTTCTATTTTTCTTTCTGTTATACCTACCACTAATATCTCCACACATTTTACTAATAATTGTTATGTCATTAGTGAAGCAAATTACATTCTATTTTTCATACACTCCCCGTATAAATATTATTTAGTTCCTTTTAAAGCCTACACATTTAACTTAAATATAACTTACACTACCGCTAGATAGCTATACCTACTTACTTAATAATTGTGATATTTATTGGACATCCAGTATGTACCTACATATTTTTGCTTCTTAATTGTAACGTATATTTATACAATTTTTTCTAATTTGTTAACAAATTCGGACACTTCGTTTATGCCTGTACATTCATATATTTACGCTGAATTATAGCGCTTATTAATTTTCGAGACGCAAAAGCTGCAGCCTAATTAGTAATTAAATATTCTCGAGCAACAAACGAACGGATAAAACGTTAGAAGGTGTGGCCACCGTGTATAACGAGCTAATTTCTTTAAACCATCATTACGGTAATTTATTACCGCGTGTTATTTTTTTTATTTCGTTAATGCCATTTTTATTACGGCGAGCGTTCGAGCTCTCCAGTCCCCCCTTCATAATTAAGCGCCCAGAAGTAAAGCAGATGTATTTGTATTTATATATAATTTTTTTATTCGGGAGTCAGGAGAGCCAGCAGTTCAAGGATCTCTTTCGAATGGCGTTTAATTTCGGATCATTAGGATCTCGGACGTTAATAGGAAATGATATGTGCGATCATAAATCATGGTTTCGGTAATGAGAGAAGAATTAATTTTATTGTTTGGTCGATAAGAATGAAATCGGGCATATAGAGAGATGATTTAATGTATGGTTCCTGCGTAATCACAATAAGTCTGTTCATAGTTTTGTCAAACTCGGTTGAACGCAGTCTAAAAGATTCATCAATAGAAGAATATATGAATTTATTGTCTAATTATAGTAAATTTGTTGAAATAATTAAAAAAAGTAGTATTTTTGTATCTCGAAATACCTATTTTCAATTTGAATCTAAGGGATGTTTAAAGTTTATTATTAATAATAAATTTCAAAAATCAATATTATGAAATTAAATTCCTGACTATTGGGAAGGAAAAACTACACGATTCGATTGCACGAAGCTGTTAATTTCCTCTGAAAAGTAGACACATCTTATAAGAAAATTCGACCTAATAAAAAACTAGATTAAATTGTTTTTATTTTAACAACCGTGACCGAATGCACTCGTAATTTATCGGAGACAGCTTAATAAAACGCGTCGTGCATAAAACGCCCACACTTTTGACCGAATACATTTAAATGAACAGTCACACTAATTACTAACTCAGTCGCTTGATTATAAATTATGCTAATTATGCTGACACGTAGTTTCAAGAACAACTGAGTAACTAAATAAGAAATGCTAAAAAACCAGAATTATTACAACTGAGAACATTGGAAAATTTAAACCATTAAGTTAATGAATTATTTGAGCTAGTTTACCAATTTTTAGTTGGCCCTTTACAACAGTTAATTAAATGCTCTTTGAATAACACTTTTCAAATGATAGTTAAGTCTGCAGTTAAGTCACGTCTCAAGCTTTTTGCGACACTCTGTATATTCCTCTGAATGCCAATTTGGTGGTTAATTTGACCGGGCTAACGGACAAATGAGTAGCAGATTATGTAGGAAAAGCGGCGAGTACGCGTCTGTGCGAAAAGGGTGAAACTCTGTCACTGCTAAGATTTTGATAGCTAATCCTTAGCGAATGTTTGGACTAGAACGATTGCGATATTTAAGCGGGAAAGTCGAGGGGGAGGCGAAGGGACGTCGACGGAACTTTATAGTTTCGGAACGTACCGAAAAAGGGATTTGGCGATTTGTGGAAGAGAAGAGAAGAGAAATGAGCGAATGCGAAAAAGGGTCAAGAGCGGTTTAAGTTGCACTCTAAACTTTATTATTAAAAAAAAGAAGTCTGATGGTGTTTTGTTTAGGTAATTCATTATTGTACACACATAGCACATACTTATAATGGCAGATTCGAGGATAGTTAGAAAATAATGAATGAGGCTTTTTATTTGCTTAATAATATAAGAGTCGATTTTGTGGATACGAAACATAGAAACTAATAAAATGATAAAAAACGACTCAAAAGATTAATAAACTAACTAAAAAGCTGTTTTAAACTTTTCTTAATTATTTTTTGGTGGGGCATATTAAGGAAGAAATGTTTAAAAAATCAGAGGGAATACAAAAATGGCAAGATATCTGCTTAAAATCTCTAAAGGACCTAAAAAGCTGTTAAAAAAATAAAAAGCGTCTCCAAAAATGAGATTCAATTATTTCAATTAGACAATTAAATAAAATTCAAAAGTTTTAATTGTTTCCCAAGTACCTAAATGTTTTACATTACTTCTACAAAAGTACATTAGTAAAAGAAATGTAAAAGTATGCCGGAGTATCAAGAAGAATATAACAACAATTGTGGTTCAAATTTAATATAAGAATATGTGGCAATAAATTAATATATTGACAAATATAGCACATGAGAAACAAACATATTGCTGTTAAAATTGAACAAAAACTTTTGGGATACTTCAGAGTACTATAACTAAGTACTATAACAATATTGTGGTCATAAAAAAGTCATGAGGTCTTGAAAAAAGTCATGAAGTTTGGTCATGAAAAAATGAAAATTGAATAAAACAAAAAAAAATTCTTAATAAAAATTGATGATTCATGATTGGTTACAAATTAGTAGGTATATCAAATTAGTTACACAAATCAGTTATCCAAATGCACGTTTCATTCCAAACCTCTAAAAAAAAACGCACCCAAAAACTAAAAAAACATCCCTAAAAAAAAACATTTTCTTGGACCCACGAGCCGGGGCCGCCCCTGCCCATCTCTCACCCCCATCCTCCTAAAATACGAAACTGGACATTACGAATCTAATTACAATCCTTGCTCATGCGTGCACCCCGCGCTCTAGATTCAACTCTCCCGACAACTCATAGGGGGGCACCCGCCGCCGCCTCTGCCACCGCCGCCGCCGCCGCCGCCGAAACGGTAGGGGTAAGTTCGAGTCGGCCGAGAGAGAGGCTCTTCCACCGGCTTGTACGAGTATCGGCCAGTCGTCTACTTGACTTCACCGAAGGAAGCGACAGCAGGAAGCGCCGACGCGCACTACACGACGCTCGAACACGCGCGCCTTTCGCCGGAAAAAAAGGACCGCCGTTATCCGGAACAGAGAAGTCCGGGAACTCGAAATTCCCTACACGTGCTCGACGAGTGTTTGTTAACCGGTGTGCGAATTTCGTTGCGATTTGTTTGTCGATGTAACGCCCGGAAAATGCGTACTTAAAGACCGAACATACATAATTGAAGTTTTTCTTTTATTAATCCAATCGAGGAAGATTTTTGACTGGTTTATTTTGTTATTATTATTTTTCCTTGTGGTTCCGATTGGTCCAAGACGGCTTCTTATAGCGAAGAATATCTATCTAGGTTAAACAATTCCGGTAGGTTTGCATGGAATATTAATAATTGCTAAGTAATTGAAAGAATGTCATTAATTGTAGATTGATTGCTTTTTACGGCCGCATTTAATCTATGTTATAAATTTTACCATTTATTATTCCAGTGCGAATTAAAATAGCGAAGGAAAATATTTCGGGAATGTTATTCGCGCGCGAAAGTTGCTTGGAAAAGAATTTCAAACGGGAACAAAGTACTTACAGTTCATAATGAAGCATTTGCACGTTGTCTCGGCAATCTGAAAAATTATAGACAATTTTTCTATATTCAATTGAATAATACTTCTAGTATAAAAATGTTTTAATAAAACCGCTATATCTTGAGAATAAATTTTGAAAAGAAATACTTAAATTGTGCAGCGTACCTAACTACTTGGATTAAATTTGTAATTAATTGACATTAAAAGTTTGCTACAAAGTAATAAAATTTTAGGTAGGTAATGTCCTTCGAAAATGATTGAATATTGTATGAAAATAAACATGCACTTGATTTTCTCACCTAGCCAATAAAACTTTAAAGTTTTGTTTAAAAAGCACATTAAACACATTAAAAATAATCCGCAAATTTTGTATTGTATTGACCCAACTAATTAGGTAATGTTTTACCGTATACAGCTTGTTTCAAAGCTCTGGGGACCTAAGAATAACTCATAGAACCAAAATGGGTCATAGATTATATGGGTCAAATATTTCTTAATAAAATGTAAAAAAATAAAATTAATACTTTTTAAGTACATAAGTTAAATAAATTTTATCAATCTAAATTAATTGAATTATAAAAATCCAAGTGTAGGAGATTCATTGCGAGAGAACCAAACAAAAATATTTAAGAATACTTAAACCGAATAAATATTATTTATAAAAATATTCGTTAATTGTTTTTATCAATATAACAGTAATACTAATACCAGTAAAATAATTAGGTTGTAAATTCTGGATATTAGAATTTATATTTACTTATAAGATATGTGTGTTAATTAAAAATAAAGCAAAGTATCAATTTTATATTACTATCACGCATGTAATAATAATAATTGCATTTATATTGATGTGTAATCGTAACCAATCAACAGTGTTAAACAGTTGAATTGACAACTTAGCAAATTCACAAATGGCAATTTAAACGATTAAATTTTTGGTGCTTGAAATTAGTAGAAAATGCTCTATTTTATTGCATATAATGTATATGGTAGTGTATTAAACAAATTAGTAATATTAGGCGTTAATTATAAATTTGTTTAATATGTTGTTAATGTAAAATTTCAAAATAATAATTATAAATAAGTATCCACCAACCCATAGCTAATTTATTCTTGTTTATGTAATTGATATAATCAATATAGGTACTTCCTGTTTTTGGTATATCCGCCTTATGTTTGTGAACCAGTACTTTAAAATTTCCTCGATATTTTTCATTCTACATTTTATTCTTTTTTGACTTAGTTGTACCTACAATGTTTCATTCAATGTGTAAAAATTGCACCATCGAAACTTACGCAACAATCTAATCGATTTTCTGCCCTATTCTCGTTTCTAATAAGGTAATTGCCTAGAATAAATTAACGTATGCAAGTACATTAGGATCTAACTAATTAGAATCAACTAACTGATTACATTTTCTTTAATTTCACATTTTGCATTCGAAGGATTAATTTATTAACATTTAATCCATAGGCGTAACTTAATCATTCAATTATAGTAGTTATACCTACTATACTTGTAATACATGTTTCATAAGAGCAAGTTACAATTTTAGTAACCATCATGTAAATTAAAAATAATTATAATTTGAATGTAATGAAATATCGAAATTTCAGAGAAAATTTTTGTAAAGATATGAAATTAAATGCTACTGATCAAGATAATGAAACGAATTACATTTCCATATTAATCAATATTTCAATTATAAGTAATAAACATACAACTTTTTATTGTTTAGCCTTCGGTAATAATATAATCCGAGTAAAAATAATTAGTAATAACTTCATCGATAATAGCAAGTAACTGGAAAAGCCACAAACTCAATCGAATTAAATAATAAAACGAGTAAAAAAAATCCAAAAGCAATTAATCTAATGACCGAAACGGAATTTTGATAATTATAATAATCTTTAATTCGTTTCAACTAGAGCAAACGAATAAAACTTTCATTATTTCTTTCTACCGATAACCATCTTATATCGTAATGAGCTTTTCGGATAATTAAAAATACATTTGCAGGAGGTAATTAGCAGTTCGCCTGCGACTTTTACCTTCCTTTTTTGTTCTAACGAAATAAACCCGTAATTAACGCAATTAATTCAATTTTATTGTCTGTATTTGCAGAACAAATCGATTCTTCTCCTACTTTTTACATCGATTGTCTCATTGCGAATTCGCAAGATTCTTTTCTTTTGAACAATCCGGCAAGCATCAAAATTTACATCTGCCTTACTTTAACTTTTCCTGCAGTTATGTATTTATCGAGCAATTCTTGGGTTAGTTGCAAATTTTTCGAGTCTAGAAATGTTTTCCAGGACATTGTTTAGAATTATCAAATAAGTGGTTGAAAAATAATTTCCAGCAGTTAGACTTTATTTTGCCTTACGGGTTTAGCTTGTTGGGTCTATTTTAGCCCCAGTTTAGTCCATTTTAGCCCGTTTTTACGCTATTTTGCCATATTCGAAACTATTAGTCTTTTAACTTATATCGCCTAATTTTAGCGACTTTTGTCCGTTTTTTGCGAAGCTTGCTTAAGCCCGCTTAAAAATAAAGCAAAGCTTAAATGTTTGCGTTATGTACCGCAAAATAATAAGCAGGGCTTAGCCAAACGTTAAATTAACTTGGCAACGTTGTATTTTTTAGGGAAATTAAATATTTTATGTGACAAGTGAAAAGTGTCAATGTTTTGAATTTGAAATTTGAAAGTAGTTGTTATTTGTTTGATATTTTTTAGTACTCATCGTGGTAAGTATACATATTATTGTTATCTACGCCTGAATTCTTCGAGGAAATCCAAAATCGATAATTTCTAAGATATCATTATCGTCTTCCAGCATAATTTCGTCTTCGATTTCCATCATTATTCGACAAATTCACAAATATTGACAATAAACAAAAAAAAAGAATAAAATGTGAGGTTATTATCTCCAAATAAGCCTGGCTTTATTTATAAAGCCGCCGATATTGGCCGCTTAAAGTTAAGCGAGCTTAAAAACGTTTGTGGATACGGTGCATACGAAAGACAAACGTTAAGCGAGCTTAACCCTTAAGCTTCGCTTATTTGTATACGGCGAATAAGGGCATTATTTATTACTGGTTTTTTGACGACCGAAAGAGTGACAAACAATGAAAACGTACGCCTTTGAGACGAGTATAAATATACTAGGTAAATCACTACCGAACGTTTTATTAATATGCATCGGTGGGTGGGGCAATTCTAATGCAATTAATTCTTCGAACGCACGAGCACTTCGAGAACTTATACTCTATACACGGGTGAGTGACCCGCTTGTTCGTTTAGTTACATGTTCTCGATAAACATTTTTGTTTAATTTTTAAGATTCGATTATCGATTAGTAATTCGTTAATTGTATTCCGTTTCGTAATTCCGACTGTTTATGCTGTTAGGTGGAAAGCTTATAATTTTACGATAAATTCTTTTGTATGTATCGACAATCTCGGTTCAAATGAATAACTTTTATACTTTTTATTTTAATGTTACGATTGAAAAATGCTTATTATTAATATTTTGTGTTGTTATCGTTAAATTAGCCTGTATAGAGTTTTATTTTTGTAATATAATTGTTATAAGCAATAAGTTACTTAAATTCCTGAATTTAATAAAATTCTGTATTTGAAACGCCCTGTATTACAGCTAATATTTTGTCCACGTTTTCATTATTTCTGTCCGTCGAATGCAAAAAATCCCGGCAATATAACGACAACACCCCCGGGACGGCGAGAAAAAAACCGAAAGCCGTTTGTGTTTTATTTAAAGCGAGTCGCACTTGAACTGTAGCCGGTTAACTTTCATACAAAACACGACTTTTATTTCAAAAGTTCGTGCCGAAAGTTTCGCGCTCGGGTAAAAAGGACTTGGGGAAAGCTGCGAAAAGGACGCACGGCGTCGAGGTCGGGCGTCGAGCGCCGAGAGAGGTTCACTTAAAAGTGCGGTCGGCGAAACAAGAACGGGGGGGCGCTAAGTGGAAATATTGTTTTAACCGGTTTTGATTTCAGTGGGCTTTTTTTTATTTACGGAAATCCTAATAGCGTTAGGGGTTTAATTGTATTTTTTTTATTTTATGAGCCAGCTTTCTTTATACACGGTGTATCATTAAAAATAACCTCTTTCTCTTTGCGCTAAAAACATTGTTGTATAAACATTATATCTGTAATTAATTTTTTTTGATAATTCCGTTTAGCGAAAATGAGAAATTGTCTGCATGCGTGCCGAGAATAGTTAAACCGTTATTCACCGAGTGATTCGAGTACCGAGTAAGTACCACACCCGCACGTGTTCCAACCACTCAGAACCGGGTTCCGATCGAATTTATAGACGAGCGCGCTCGCTCTAGATATACTACAATATTCCGCGCCAGAGCAGAGATTTATATTATTAATTAACTTGGGTGTAACTTTAATGCCATTCGTATAGATTATTTTATTATTATTATTCGAGACAAAAGCGGGCCCGAGAAGTAATGCTCGCATTTTCGTTATCGTTATTGAATAAACCCGTTTTATTCGCGTATGTATATCCTGTTCCAAATAGCTACCCACATCAGCAGGAAATTTAACTTCTTTAAACTAAAATTGAAATTACAAATATTGTATTTTTTTATTTGTATCCTGCGAATGATAGGGAATCTTTTAAGGGTTTTAAATTTATGAAACTTTCACCGGTAACATCATGATTTTTTTGTTTTGAGTTTATTTCAACCCGTCTAATTTCGACAAATTTTTGTTAATTTTTTTAGCTTTAGAAAGTTCTAACTGTCATAAAACAAATTATTTTTTGTTCTGACATTATAAAATCCTCAAAAATTACTTTAAAATACTACAAAAAATTTAAAAACCACTTAAAAAATCGAAAATTCGAAAACACGAAACCCCCAGGTACTTGTTAATCTAAACGCTCGAAAAATTCCGTCTGAAAAAAATCAATTACCTCATTGTTTTCGTTCAACGTGCTCGAAACGTCAAATTTCTAAACTACAACTTCAACCCTCTCTCACGGGGAAAGAACAATTCGATCGCATTCGACAAGGGGTTAAAACGCGTACTCGAATTTTCGAGACCATTCAAACTCTTACCTACTGAGGAACGGGGAGAGAGAAAAAAAAGGAGAGCTTAGAGAGTTCGGTTAGAGGCGAAACGGGGGCGAGAGACACGCGATGCCCTCCCGCCGGCCCCCTGACGTTCGTTCGTTTTAATAGAGCTGTAACGAGGACCGAAAAGGGCGAAAGGGTGGCTTTGCGATTTTATTTCGTGCTCGCGCGGAAGGGGGTCAGCGCGGTCGGCCGGCGGGGCGGTTTTTGCGAATGTCGGCGGACTGAAGCAGCGCCTGGGGTTGGAAATTTATTATCGGCTAGGTGATGGGCGAAAGGAATTAACTCGCCCAAATCGAAATTTCAAGTACGAATTTTCTGTATAAGTACACCAAAATTGCGCCACTCAAAGTCACCCTTGCATTAATAATTCAGAAAAAATATTCTAGCAGGAGTAGTACGAATGCCATATTATAAAAAACTTTCGAGTGAAATACCTATTGTTGCAATAAATTCGCCTTTGCGAAGAAAGCGAGAACAACGAAAATGGCTAAGTAGTATAGACTGCGTCGAATAATAAATGGACTTATAATAATGTCGTAATAAATAAATACATTAAATCAATTATATTTAATTAGCATACAAGCCCATTTTTAGAACGTAATTCGAAATGAAAACGTTGCACCCACATACCGGTCGAATCTAAGTCAATTACATGCAAGCATTATAAATAGGAATGATAAATTGATTCAAACGCTTATTAGCCACACACTGGCGGTCGCTTAATTACTTATCTACATTACAAAAAAATATTTATAATTTCGAATATAATCGTTTCTAATTATGGCTTATTTCGCACATGATTATTCCTACAAGTACGCACACATGTTCGCTTACATATTCTTGGAAGCTCTCGCTTATTCTCTCTCGAGCGTATTAAATTATTCAAATGAGGTATGTAACGCGGAAAAATTGAAAGGTCACAAGTTATATGCAATGCGAATTATTATTATATATATCTATAAATTATAAATTATAATCGTGAAAAATGCACATGGTTTATCCAATTTCTTTGAAAAATTAGGAAGTGCTTGGCAACATTGCAAGGTTTCTTTGAAATCACATTAAATTGTTTTCTAAAGCAAATTTTACTGTAAATACATTTGTTGTGTTTCTAGTTTCTATATAAGTTATTTTACATAATGTTTAAATTATAAGTTTAAAGTAATAAGGTAATATAAATACAAAAAATAAATAAGATATATTTAAGTTTATATGACATTGTCAAATTCATAAGTTGATGCAACAAGTATTGCAATAATAATCTCTAGTAATATTAAAAATGCATCATAAAATCCCATGTACTAAATTTTTCATGTAACTCTACGCCGAATTTCCGCCCGGAAGTTCAAGAAAAAAAAACCGCCAGTACGTGTACATGCACATGGAAAAGGGAGAATTGGCTCGAACACAATACAAAAGAAAAACCGCCTTCCGACGCGAAACGCATGAGGAAAAGGACGACAAACAAGGAAAATGTGGCACACGACGCGCGGCGTCGACGACCTTGGCGTTCCCGTCGCGACGCCTTTTCAGCGCCTTCGAGGGTCGCGCGCGGGGAAAGCGAAAGTTCGCGACGTCGTCGGCACGCGCCGACGTCCAGGAAAACACGTGCCCCAAGCGCCGACACGTGAACCTAGGTTCGGGAAATCTCCTAAATTTTTTATCATATACTTTTCGACGAGGAGGAGAATCCGGAACTCCGGGAAGCGCGGACGGAGCGAAAGTTTTTCCGCCAAGAGGGGAGCAACTATTTTATTCGTGAAGGTGGTGGGTTCGGGGTGGAATGCCGGTCGATTAATGTCGGTTAATTTTCGCTTTTACTGGAATATATTGTTTAAATCAATTCGGAATTCGTGTCGTGTGTATGTGGAATTATTCAAATACTTTTGAACTGTTGAATGAGCTGTTTAATGAGCGATTTAAATTATTATATTTAAGCCGATTTAACAGGTGCATGAATTGCTTTTACGTAATGTTTTTGTATGTAGTATTATTATTAGTTATTTATTTTTAACTAAAGGTGTGATTTTTTGGGGTATTTTTTGTAAAATTGATCATGTTGACTTTTTAAAATTTACTCATAATACGTATAAGGCCTAATATAAAATCAGGTTCAAAACAAGGGAAAAAGAAATGAAACCTCTTGTTTTCAATAATCAAAAATTAAAATAACTCAATAAAATATTAAATAAGTCGAGTTGGCGCAGCAAAGTAAGAACTTGCATATAGGCCTGTATATACAGACGTTATTCTACAAAAATATACTACTACCTATACATAATAGGTACTATATGTTATTTATTTCTTTTATTTACAACAAAATATTGAAAACGATGGAGAATACAACTAGGCCTTCGATGCAGCAGGATTAATTGATGGCTGAGTTACTTGTTAACTTTAGCGCTTCATTAACCAATTATTATCAATATTGTATTTTCAATTTTTTTATGAGAATTCTAAGGTATTTTTGTTGTTTTCAGACGAATCAGGATGCGAGGCTGACATGGCAGAAGGTAGCGTAGAGGAAGACAACGGCGAAATGTTAGGTCCAACTCTAGCGCCCGTCCACACCATGCACACGCCGGCTCCTTCGAATTTGAGTTGCAAGGAGGAGGAAGAAGTGAGTGAAAATGTATCATATTTACTCCCACACATCTGTAGCGAGACATTCACCTACACCTATACCATTTGCAATTAAAACTGCAGAATATTACATTTTCATTGTACTAATTTTCCCTCTTACAAAATTTTCATAAAATGCACCGACTTGCATACTGTGAATAATGTATTTACCATTTTGTCGCTGAGTTAGTCGCAATTAAATTACATACCTACATTGTACTAAGCGTATAATGAAATGTTCAGACAACTCGATTATTTTCATAAAATAATTAATAATTTGTTTACGTTTAAATTTTTTCTAGAAAAAGAATTACCGATTAAAACCATTATGCATGCGTGATGATGAAATTAGAAAATCCATTTAGTCATTCACATGAAGCGCGATTTGAATATAGAAAGGAAAAACCGATTTATGCGCTGAGAAATTAACATTATCAATTACTTAATAAATAAATTTAAGTATATAGATTAATATACCGGGGCCGAATTAAATGTTCGTATAACAAATAAATAAATAGGAAAAAAAGGTGCGCCTTAACACACTTATTATCATTGAGTGTGTGTGTGTATTTATCCGTTCTCTGAATTTAATTTAGCACTTATGCAAATGTTGTTGTTTAATAATGCAAGATTAATCACACTCGCTAAGTTAATTCGCTTTATAATTTACCATTATTGAGGTAATATTCTAATTTGCATAAGGTACCTACATCTAATTATCTCGGACATGCAAATAACTAAGCGGTGACTCCTTCACGATACGCTCTGCTACCACATTGATTTTTTAAAAATTCATACTTAGAAATTTGTTTTACCGAAGGAGAGTAAGTTTTCAATAAACTGATTGTTACGGGGTGAAATCCCTACATATTAATTTAAATTGTAAGTGTATAATCCATCTAATTTTTTGAGGTTTTGCTGCGTGTTACTGTATAAAAATAGGTAACACAATATTTTTAAAATGTTGACACTGGATAACGAACATTTTACATTAAAATATTTTTCGAATAAAACAGGAAAAAAGTAATTTCCCGATGAAATAAAAATCCGCTCGTTTTAATCAACAACGGAGTAGGTATATAGGAATGCAATAATTTAAAATATTTATTCTTCTGTATTATGTATTTACGAACACATAACGTTTATTCGTATTCGCGTTTCAAAAATAAAGGATAAAAATTCACTAATTAAAAAAGCTTTTGCCCGGGATTTTGTACGTAAAAATGCATGATTAAGAGAAGGACGGACGAATCCGGATTGATCGAAATAAAATAAAAAAGAAACGGAATAACGTCCACTATAAATTAGTTTCGTTCGAGAGAACAGCTAAAAATTTAAATAAATCGAAATGCCCCGATATTATTGCGCTGAATTTGGTGCAGACATTTTTTTTCAATTTGCAATTCTTTCTATTTTCCATACATTAGTTCATTTCATAGGAGCTGCCCAGAATGTTAATTGACAATCGGAGATATAATGTTGTCATATTACGTTTAATTTAAATATACGAATTTAACTAGTAAATTTTTACTAGTAAAAGTAAAAATTAATTGGAATTTGCATAAATTTTGTAGTTTCTCAATTACTTGAGAACATATTGCTCAGAAGATACGGAATAATTACCACAGCAATTTGCTTCTAAATTCATTCTTTTCCTATTATAACAATTACCTATACTAAGAAGAATATAATTTTTTAAGTAAATTCTATTGCAAAACCTTTTTTTGTACTTAATTTCGATATTTTATAACAAGGAAATTAGAAAATTTCTCTGGTCAAGTATTAAACTAAATTCATGTAGCAATCCAAATAAACGATTTTCTAATAGCCTATAAGCTATAAAATATATTTTTTCCTGACAAACATCGATATCGAATCTTCACGGCTAATTTATTCAAGACGTTTGCTAAACCCCGCTTTAACGAATCCCAATCGGGCTCTATATCTACACTCTGATAGTTCCTTGCATAAGATATCCCGCATAGTCCGAAAGTCCGATTTGCGTTTACCCGGAGCTTTGTAGTGACCCCCGAAACCGTGTAAGCATTTACGTTAACTATTTGTTTCAATTAATAATGCTTCATCTGACTGAGGATGGGAGGAAAATCACCAAAGCCCATGGCGTATCAAAGGTTTCCTCTGTATATATCGTACAGTAGCCTTCGGTATACATTACCGAATGCAATTTGAATGGCTCTTCTTGACCGTGAGGTGTTCTGTTCTACGAGTTTAGCTGCAAACTATAGATTAGATATCAATATGTTTTAGCCCTCGGCTGGGCAGGCGTTCGTTGAATACATAAGGGAAATGGGTGATTCATTTCGTTTCATTTCATGGCTATTCAATGTAGAGAGAATAAGGGTTTATTGGTTTAATCGAGGATTCTAAATTTAATGTGTTAATTACACATATTAGTGACACTTCGCTCGTTTCTATAATTTGCTAATATCTAATAAAAAAATTAAAACAACATCCCCAGTTTTCCACATATGAGTTGTTTCGATTAATCGTGTGACATCCTGTATAAACTAAAGTTTTTATTTTGTAATATTAACCACAATTTTCAGATATTTGAGAGTACAAAAATTATCGAAAATTGTTAGTTAATGATTCTATGAACAAAGTTTATATTATTATATACAACTTGGAAGTTGGAAGTTTCCAGAAATTCTGGTCAGGTACCTTTCACGTTGGATTAATTAGATAATTTCCTTATCGAATTACCTAGGTATTAAATTTTCGTTAATTAATACATTATAAAGTTAATTGTAGCTCGAAAAGGGGAAGTTAATCTCGCTAAAAATTGTGGAGTTAATCGTTTATCAATGTATTAATATTTTAGAAACTTTGATGAAGTAAAAAATAGCCTAATGGCGTAAATCTGGTAAATTATATTAAATCGTTCAATTTGTTGTGATTGATTAATATTCTTGTTAAATAATAAAATTAAAAAAAATATAGCAAAATATGTGTAAAGCGAAATAGAGCGTCGCGACGGCGAGCATCGTCCGCTCTTCGCGGAAAACTAATTATGTTAATAACGCCGGTCCGAACTCGCCCCATCACACTTACTAATCAACGAGGGCGGTCGTGGGGGTGGATTGGCGGCAATAGCTTTGGCCTGCTCTCTCTGCATACCTCACGCGTATCTCTCGCTCCGTCTCGCCTTCCCGACATCCCTCGCTCGGTATCTCGTTCTCTCTGTCTTCCCGTCCCCCCCGACGACCCCCCCACCCCGTATCCGGCGAACAAAAACCTTTTTCCAATACATCGCTATATCCAGTGAATAAATGAAAACGAAGGACTATTGGTTTTTAGCTTTTGTCCGTTGTTCAAATGAGTATGTGTTGGAAAAATCAGTTAGGAGAACAAAACGAGGCGGGCTGGGGGGGTTGGCGGGGACCGGGGAAGGGGGTATGTACCCCACACCTCGACCCCCGCGCGCGTTTTCCGTACACGTCCGTGTATTTTTTTTATTCTTTGTGATTAGTCCGCAGCATTTTACTCTTTTCGCGCATGGCTTTTTTATAGTGGACGAGCTTCAATCTGTAATTTAAAAACACGCGAATGTCGGTATTGATTTTTAATAAAATTCATTTTTTCGGGTTGGCAACCGTTTCGGCCAATGGCGATCAGAAGCACTAATGGCCAAATACTGCATAATTAACTAATTATGAAATACATTTATCGGTTTTTTTTCTCTCCCGCCCTCGGTGCAGTTATTGTCATCCGCAAATGTAAAATTATATTATTAAAACCTGTAATAAAGTTAATATTTTATACGCGGATTTTTAAATCGACCTCTCTGTTGCTCTCGATAATTCCTTGATCATCCCACTCTCTACGTATAATTTCATTAATTTATTGTATTTCATATTTTTAACTAGATTATTTGCATTACGTGAATGTGCGAGTGCGGAGAAATGCAATTCTAAATATTCGCAAAAAGACTATTCGAATTATTTTAATTACATTTCGAATGACCAAAATCTAAAAGGAGCTTTTAAAATTAGTGTATGGCAATAATTAGTAAATTCAATTTAAACCAATTGAAAAATAAAAATCATTAGAAACATTTTCTATTGACAAAAATACATACAAATAATATTTTTTAATAGTTAATAAAAATTTAAAAGGAAAAAATATGCATTGAAAAAGAAATTCAATTTTGTAATAAATCTAAAATATAATGGTCGGTATAGATGAATCGATTTGTACTTTGAGAGAGAAAGAGAGAGAAGAGTTTTTTTAGATATATAAAACATTAGCCCTTTTAATTTTCACAACAATAGCAAGTACCCTCTTTTATTACCATGCATTATTCCATTATTGTTGCAATTATAATATTTTAACCAATTATTATTATTAATACCAAATCCATACCGATATTATGTATATTTTTATTTAAAGCCTTAATAAAGATTCCAAAGACCCTTTTCGAGCAACAGTGAACTGAAATTCAACTTTTATCCCCCTTTAAATACGTATCGGTCCGGCCTCGCATATATCCCATTCAGAGACGTCTCTTCTCCCGATCTCCATTTTTATAACCGAATGCAACTTCATCATCATCATAAAGATATCGAACTAAGTCCGACGGGGCTTCGTAGGAGACTCCTGAAGGGCATTTACTTCGGCAATCTTATTCGTATTTGCATAGAGGGCGTCCGAGCGGCCGGCGGACTCTTCCTTAATACCCTGGGGGGGTTTCCGGGCGGCTCGCCCTTATTGGATATACGCGAAATAGGGTGATAGAAAATGATTCCTTCGTATATTTGTTATGCATTGCTAGTTGTGGACATCGGCCAAAGTCGAATAATATTTCAATATATCGGGAGGTAATAAAAAAAGGAGAGTCCGGGATCTAAATAAAATTTCACGGAACGGCGGTTTTGTATGTTCGAAATGAATGCTTTAAATGCAATATCGTCCTCCATACAGCATATCTATTTTTTTGGGGATTTTGAATTTTGATTCTCGTTATACAGGGCGATTGAA